CTTCAGCATATCACTTGCAATTCAACAATGGTTGGCAGTGCTTCTTAATTTGTAGGATTTGTCTTCGTTCTCTTATTGTCATCACTGTCGCATTTATTTATATTTAGGCAATGCAACTTGTGCTGAAGTCCGACGTCAGTAACGTCCAGAACAGCCGCGGAAACCCACCTCCAGTCACGGAGGCATGCACGAAGTCAACAGCAGAGCAAGCGGCACCGAAAGCAAACTGCTTTGAAGTTTCAAAACGTAAATTGAACTGTGCTGTTTATGCATTTTGCCTTCCCTGTGCTCAGTTTCCTGCATACAATCCGCAACAGATTGTTCATTTTAATCTGATCTGATTTGATTATCTTCTAGATCTGTTCCCTGTCACCGTGAAGGCCAAGATGGAATCGACTAATCGGATCCTTACGTTGAATGGTGCAAGTAACGCGGAACTAACAGTCACCTTCAAGCCCAAGAGCAGCGGAGGCAGCACAGGCGGCTCAGACAGCTCAACCACCTCTGCAGCGGCATGGCTTGCAGACTCCGCAGCCCTTATTCTGGCCAACTTGGCCATGATGTACCTCTTACCTTAGATGCCAATTAGTACAAGCCACCCTTTCTGGAGCCTGACAATGTAGTGTTAGATGCGCTTTCTGTACTTCTAGATGTGCATAATGTATTGCTAGATGTGCTTAATGTAGTGCCAGATGTTAGTAAAATATAATCCGCTTTAGTTGCAAATATTTGCTTTTCTCCAGCCATCCTCGCGCACCTTTTTGGTGGGTTTGCTGCCAGGAGGACACCGGGTATTCGCAAAGAAATCGCTGTCTAAGTGCAAGCTGGACAGCCGGTATATCCGCACCGTTTGCACAGCACAGTCGACGGGATATGGCCCGCCGAATTGACAGTTAGCTCATACAGACCTAATGTAGAAAGACGATAAACTGTCCACGTTGTACCCTCGGTGGATGCAACAGAAGTCTGCCGGATGTGACCACAGATGCGTTGGGTAGGCGCTGGTGCTATTGATAGCAACGCGTTGTTGGCGGCACTTGACAAAGAGCCAGCGTAAAGATGGTTTACTGGGTCGCAAAATACCAAT